AATTCCACAAAAACCTGACACTTTCGCAAGTAGAATTGGTTCACAAAATTTTTTTTTAAAATATCATTTAAATAGCTTTCCACTTAATTTTGAGCTACTCTATTTTAATTTTTCTATATTTAGTTATGATTTTTTGAAATTGGATCAGAAAACTGGATTTTTAACAAATGAACAGTAAAAATCCGAAAATCAGTGTTTTTTTATGAAAATTTGAGACCAAGACCATTCAATGTGGTCTATAATGGTTCTGATTAAACCCTAACTCGAACCGATAGTATGGTATAACACGTGAAGGCTTGTTTTTGGACCCTATTTGACCTGAAATATTCCTAAAATCATGAACTACAATTTGATATATTATGTGCTTATTTTTTATGACTTTTTGGGTATGAAAAATAGTAAATAAACATTTTATTTTTATTTTTATTTTTCCCTCTTAACTTAAACTTTTTTTTGGGTTTAGGAAATGGCAACCTCAATAAGTGGATGAAAATGGGCAATTGTTTCTGTTTTTTAAAATAAAAATAGTTGTTGGTACAAATTGAAACAAAGGAATGCAATCTAGAGCGTGGATATTGGGTTTTAATTAAAATAAGGATAATGAATAGGTAAAGAACATTAGTACTAATGTTAGATTTTGCAATTACCTTTTTTTTTTTTTTTGGGAAAATCACAACCACAGATCCTACCAGCTCGAACCCCCGCCGATGAGTTTCAGTCCAAGCGCTAAACCCATAAGACAGGAGAGAGCCAGCGGATTTTGCAATTACTAATCAGATTCATGCATGAAGATTGATATCCAAGCATTTTCAACATTTAATCTGGATTTCTTGGCTGAATTGAAAAAATCTGGAGGAGTATATTCATATTTATGACGTGGAATTGCGGATTTAGCTTCCAGATCCACAGAAGCATAGAAACTCGTTTTTTTTTTTTTTTGACTATAGATTGTTTTATTTCTATGCTGTTGGGATATTTCCATTCCCAATTACACAAAAGTTACCATGGGTCGAATGTAAAGTAGAAATACCGCTTGGTACTCTGATTTAATTTTATATAGTGATATTTTAGTTCGATTTCTAAATTTTATAAAATATTTCTGAAGTCATTAAGTTCTAACGCCATTGATATCAAATTATACTTTTTTAATCATTATTATTTTGAAGAATTAAAATGAACATATCAATACTTATAAATATTTTGTCAAGATTTAAAATTTTAATATCAATATTTTTTATTCATGAAATTAACTGTGTTAAAAATTATAAATCATCTCCCATATTTATAATTGGGCACTTTTCACCTTTTTCCATCTCCATATTCTAGGTACTAATAATTAAATCAGCTCCTTCCCTCCCTCTTCTCTTGTTAATTTCTACCAATAAATCATCTATGATAAGGCTGAAATAAGCTATTCTAGCTTTGTTTCCTCTCACGTCCTGAATTTTGGGCTTATAAGCATTAAAATTAACCTAAAATGGACAGGCTACTAGACTTTTTTTGGCAGAGATCCTAAAGATTCCTTGGAGGGACAGAGAGATTTCCAGGAATTAAATCGTAAATGAAAAGTTTACTGGGACTAAGAAAAGAGAAAGTTAGTGACTCTAGCAAAGCTCAAGGCCCAAGATTGAGAAATAGATATGAGTGTAGACCAATAGTTATATTGGAGGTCCTAATGAGGTGAATTTCAGGTTAAGCCAAACCAAGGGCAAATCGTAATTTTGCAAAGTTTCAGGCTGAAGATGGGCAATGATGGAAAGTTGGCCTGAATACTCCAGAAAAATTCTAGAAAAATAGGAATGACGTTTAGAGGCCCGTTTGGGGCTAAAAATGACAAAAATGCATTTGGAAGGAATTTGTGGAATTCCTAGAGTTTTGACTGATTTTGAATATTATCGAAAATAAATTATTTAAAGTATAGGGAGGCCTTAGATAATTGGACAAAAATGGCAAAAAATACTTGAGAAATTATTATAGGTTTTAAAAATAATTTCATCCCCAGAAAGTGAAGAGGTGGGCTTTAATAGAATTTAAAGTTTATTTATACACTATCCAGGAAAAGTCAAAGTCAAATGTTAGAGGTTGACTTTTGACTTAAGAAAAATTACAAAAATTTTCCGTGATAAATAAATAGTATTGGTACCTGGAGACAGATTCTCGGAGTTGTGGACCGATATAAAGAATTTGGTCAAATTTACTCTGGAATAAATATTATTAATTGTTTTAATGGAAGAACAAGGGAAGAGCATCATTTCCTCTTTAGGCATATTATATAATGCCATGTGGACTTATTTGAGATGAGAAAATGGTGCCATATCTCAGTAGTCCCGGGTAAGTCAGGACCCTCAAAAGTACTCTATAAGGTGCAAAATGGCAAGATAGGTGTAGAAATGCCTAGGGGTTGTATTTTTGCATGAATTTTTCATTAATTTTCTCCCTATCTTGATGCCAAAATGATGAAGGGACATGGAAGAGACAAGTATATGATTAAATGAAAGACAATTGTACAGTTGGATATAGGACACATGTACGGTTAGATGCAAGACACATGTACAGTTGGATTAAAGACATGTGGCTTGATGATGTAAGTATGATGTCATAAGGATACTTGTCACCACAAGACAAAGAGGAAAAATGGATGGTCAAAATTAAACCACATATTTTTAAGATCAATGGCTAGGATTTGTTCCTAAACTCTATAAATACCCCTCCCCTCCCCTCATTTTGACCAAGGCTCTTGAAACCTTAGGAAAATTCTTGGAAAATGAATTCTAGAGAGAGAAAGAAGAGGGTGAGAGAAAGGCCAAGTGACCTTATGCAAGATCAAGCTATAAAACAAGGTATGTTCATGGTTTTTGATGTAGTTTTCACTACTCTTGTTGTTGCTAAGTTTGGTTATGGATTTTAGTGGTTTTTGGGAACTTGAAACCCTAAAAGGACATGCTGCACGAAATTGTAAAGTGTGAGGGGAGATGAAATTAGTGTTAGAATAATATTTAAAGGCTTGAAAGGAACAATAATTAAGTGGTTCTGACTTTATATTAATTGAATTCCATGACTTTGGAACCATAGAGGATGCCAAGGCCTGACTGGTTCTTGTGTCGATGATGTGATTTTGATGATTTTGATGCTTTTAATGTGTTTAAAATGAAAAATTGTGTAGGAACAAGATGAAAGAATGAAGTTAGAAGCATTGGAATCAAAACTGGAATTTAAGTGGCAAATTTTGGTTTTGGCCTAGAACTAGGGGGAAGGAGTTGGATTTTGATTAATCTAAGCTCATATTTGAATTCTTTGGACAAAATTGTGTAGGATTGGCTTAAGAAAATAGTTTTTACAAAGCTAGAACACTACATCATAAATTAAGGAAAAGAGATTAAGTATAAGGACATAAGTCTTCAACATTGTATAGTTCTTGGTCCTAGTGAGTAATGTGACTCTTGTGGCTGTGATTAGGACCTTGAGACATCCAAGAGAAGGTTTGGATGTGGTCGATCGAAAGTTAGATGGTTAGGAAGCTTAGGGAGCAAGTTGAAGAGCAAGATAAAACTCATGATGCAAGGCAATGAACTTACCCCTTTATGTGCCTGATGTAGTGTGCTTATGTGTTAGTTTGTATGTGTCGATTATATGATGTTGTGACATGATGATTGTTGCCAAAAATGCCATTCTTAATATGTTTTCATAGCCATGCATTTTTATACCAAGCATAAAATATGATGGCATGTACTAGTTAACCTAAGTTTATGGAAAATTACATACCATACATTAGCATCCATCTTGCACATGTATGTGGTAACGTTTGCTACTGAGATTTTTCTGAATCCCACTCTCCCTTAACCAACCATAATAGGTGTAAAGACCATGGGAGGAGAAACCAAGAAGTCGAAGTGCAAGAATAAAGAGAAGAAGATAGAAATAAATATTACGTTCTGTTATGTAATATGTTATGATGATATATTCATAAATATACTGTAGACAATATGCATTGATATGTACTTCTGAATGAGATAATGTATAGGAATGGCTAGTGCATGAATAGAAAGGTATTATGCAAGGAAAGAATTGATTATGAATTATTAATGCAAGTTAGTGGGATAAAGCATCCTTAAAGGAGCCACGAGTTAGTGATAGAGTGGAGGTGAGGCAAACGATTGATTCTGCCAATAAAATTTGGTATGGTTAAAGTACACATCCTGAGTTTTAAAGTCACCTAAAATAGATGTGTGCTAAAAGTTATATTTGATCAAAGTTAGGGCAGAGAAACTAGAACGTACAGTTTTAACCATATAAATAGTAAATTTCAATGAATAAACTGTACAAATTGGTAAGGGTTAAGTCGAGTTTTATATTTTTTCCCTATACAGAACTTAAAGAGCTTTAAATAGAATTTTGAACCACCTCAATATGATTTTTCTATAATTATTTATGATATTTCAAATTTGGATAAAAAAATAAATTTTCAATCTACGTATTTGTTTTATGAATCGCTTGAATTATAACACTTCCAAATGCATACTCTGAGGGGTTAAAGGAAGGATGTTTCATTTCTCACTTTCCTCACGCTACATTCTCTCCCTATCCTCTTCATCTTAGATATTCATCATGATCACAGTTTCAACGTTCACCAAAAGGGGTATTTGAATTAGCTATTGGAAAATAATTTTTGTAAAAAAGTGATTTTGATAAAATGAAAGTGTTTGGATAGTTATTACTTGGACCACTTTTTTAATGTTCAAATTACAAAAAAATGTATATAAATAATAAATAATATATGTACACATGTAAGATGATCTTATTATTTATGTAATTAATTATTAATTTGTGTCTATATTTATAAAACCATGGTTTTCCACCCAAAAAGTAGAAAAAATTAGCTTATTGAAAAACGATGGTTTTAGTCTTGAAGCCATGGTTTTGGCATAATAATCAGTTATTGGGTTTAAAGCCATCAGACTGAAACTCCCCTTGCATACAAGAACATAATGAAAAGACACGTCTAAAACTGAACCTGAATTTGGTTTCATTGATGCAGCTGTCTTTTACTGCTATACACATATTACCCAACTAAACCGACCCGCCTTCTTCTAACCATCATTATACATATAAAACTAAAATCATTATTCACACAATTTTTTTAAAACAAAAATTATGCATCTCGTGCTAACAGCTAGTTGTTTGAGGTAAAATCTGGTGTTTTTACATCATGAAACATCTTATTATGCCAAGGGGGGAGACTGAGAGATGTTATCTAATTAATAATCAGAATGTCTATTCACGGTAAAGCTCTGGTGCAACCGATGAGTCTTCAGAAATGGATTCTACAAGTGTTTTAGAGGTCCAAAAAAGGTTCAAATGAGTGATTCCATCTCCTTTCTCTGATTATGTTCACCTCATTTCCAGTTTTTAATTTGATCCAAATTCTTAATCTTCATTACCAAGATCTCCCCACCTTACGTTGTGCTTTGCAGCAAGATAGTGAGCCCCAACTGGTCCTCTGCTGCCATAGGGGTAGAGCTCAGGAGCAATCTTCTTGTTCTCAAGTTCTTTCAGCAAAGGGGTGAAAAGTGCCCAAGCTGCATCAAGCTCATCACTTCTGATGAACAATCTTCGCTCGCCTTCTATCGCATCCAAAAGTAACCTCTCATATGCATCCGGTATTTCACTTGGATACCTTCACATTAAGTATGAGTGTTACAATAATGCTGTTGTAAGAATCTCCAAATGAGGCATAATCCAGACTAGACATAAATATGAAATATATAAGGGAGTGTTTGACCTGAGATGAATGGAGAAGGGAAGGATGTATAAGGCGTAATTTGGAATACCTTCTTATCTTGATTTAGATCTAAGCAAAATATTTCCTTCCCTCCCCTTACCCTCCGTTCTCCTCAGTCAAATCATGCCTAGAGGAAAAAGTTAACTCCAACGTATTGCAGGTACGGTAACATCACATGCATCAGTTTTCTTTCTTCTTCTTTTTTTTTTTTTAAATTAAATTTTAGCCTGAATCTGTTAAGTTCATCCGTTCCACGGTGTCACCTCTGAACAGCTCGGAAACTCGCACATACACAGAAAACAAATTATGATGCAATTAAGTTTTCTACGATCATGAACTCATGAAGCTTGGTTCTTCAATATTAGTTATTTTAACAAGTGAACTAATCATGAATGGATGAATTATTATGATTATTATTATTAATTATAAACAATCTACAACTCTTACATTTAAAGCCGATTCAGTCAAATGTATTCAGTAATATATATCGGCAATATTTATACCTTGCTCGGAAAAGCAAATTTAGATCACTTCTGTCTAGTCTCATCCCCAGGCCAGGAACTTTGTTATTGATCTTCAAATATATAGCTTCATCAGGCTGCACACGAAGTACGAGCTCATTTGTAGCCTTGTCCAGGTCTGTTCCGAAATTTCGCTTGTACAAGTTACCTGGTACATGTCGGAACTGTACTCTGATTTCTGCACTGGATACATGTTTGGACTCCTTTAGGAACTATAACTTGACAAACTCGTAATCCTTCTAAAGAAGTTTGCAAAATATACATATATACCGCTTAGTATGGAGAGCCTTGCCAGCTTTCATAAGGAAAGGAACACTATCCCATCTAGCATTGTCGATAAAAAGAGCTGCCGCTGCAAATGTTGGGGTAATACTGCCATTTGGAACTGTTGGGTCATCTGTGTAGCCAGGATATGACTTGCCACCCTTGCTGTGGCCCTTGTATTGACCAACAACAACATTTTCAAGTTGCAGTGGTCTCATTGATCTTAGAACCTTCACCTGATTTACAATTATAATAGATCAATACATGAAGACACGCCAAATTCTTAAATTTTATAGCATAGGGCACGAATCATGTATTATAATATGTAAGTTTCAATATTCACAATATCTTGATGAAAATCAGAAAACACGATCAAATATTCCGCAAAGCAACTTCTACGGGTTTTGCATCTCCCACCTCAATAGCTGGCAAAGTACCTACAGTTGATTATAAAATGGGTAACAAAAACGGGTGTTGCGAGGAAGAAATGAAGTAACTGCAGCAATGCATAGAGAGACCATGATATAGAAAGTTGAACCAAAATATGAGGTAAGGATATTTACAAGAGACATAGTTACCTTTTCATTTCTGATGTCCTCAGCATCCAAGCTGACAGGAGTTTCCATTGCAAACAGTGCTAGTATTTGTAGAAGATGATTTTGCATTATATCTCTTATTATTCCATAGTTATCAAAATAGCTAAAGAGAAATAAAAAAGAGAAGTTAGGTTAGTGACATGTAATTTTCTCAAGTACCTTAAACACTATAGGACTCACCCCCCTCTCCCCTCTGTTCCAAAATCTTCAGAAAATATGAATTGCACATTGCGAATGTAGTTCCGGGACCATAGAGGCTCAAAAACAAGATTTGAAAAGCGAAGCACAGACAGGTTCTCCACAAGCTCTTTACCCAAATAATGATCAATCCTGAACAGTTGTCAATGACTTCAAACATTTCTCTATGGCCGGGCAAGATATTTTTTTCAAAAAGAAAAACAGGGAGCCAAACGCACCTAAATATTTGTTCTTCAGTGAGGTACTGCTTCAAACATCTCGTTAGCTCACTAGAGGATTCTGAATCACGACCAAACGGCTTTTCAACAATAACCCTCGTCCAGCCCTTTTCTGATGATGCTTTGTGGCTGGCACATCGCACTGCATCTACAAATATGTTTGGAGGTACAGACAAGTAAAACAACCTGTTTGAGAGGCTTCCGCCCTGAAATAAACCGTTGTCAAGTATTAGCAAGACACAATTTTCAATTCAGCTGACTAGGAGGGAGAACATATGAATAATAGACACACAAAAAATAATTATGTCCATGTCTGGCATATGTTGGAAACTCATGTTAGGCATGATGCAACAATTTATATTATACATGGACACTTCAGACTTCATTGTGCTGTGGCATACGCATTAGTGTCGTATCCCATGTTCATATTTTGTCCATGCTCTCTAGGCAGGAACCTATTACGCAAACTCTAATTTAGTATGTTGATGAACCCATAGATGAATTAAGTCACATAGAAAATGCTTTCGACTTAATGACTGATAAAATACCTAAAAACTTCTGCACCCTAGTACCCTGCCATTAATAACGAGAATATACTGAACTTCATTAAAAAGTTGTTCTCTCTCTCTCTCTCTCTGTGGCCCGATACCAGTTCAACATCAGCAACCTACTATTGGGAAATAAGCAAGAGTAAGACAGTTCATGGTCATTTAAGTTTTACAAATACTTATGTTAAGATTAAATAAACAAATAGAATGTCTAAGCAGTTAGCAGATATATCACCTGACTCTTTATAATACATTTAATGGTCATTAATTAAATTTATGACCTTAAAAAATTTTGGTGTTATAATAACTTTATGATGACATTAAGTACCGGCTGGCAAACTCCAACATTCTATAAATGGCTATCCCTGCTTTGACCTCAGCTCTGCAGTCATTGTGTGAGACGGGGAGAAAAAATTAGAAGATAGAGTAGATATATGACCTCTTTTTCTTTCAGCTTGCAGTCGAGTTCTGCAAAGTGATTCTCAGAGTTGTACTGACCAGAATGATAAAAGCATCGTTTCAGGAACTGATCCATTTTATCTTCACAATTTTCCCTGTAATCTCAACTTGCCTCAATGTAATACCAAATGGAATCAAGTAGGGAGAAAGAAAATATTGTCACGTCATGCCGTCATGTTACATTCACGGGAATAAATACCTCTTATCAATTCTGCATGTTAAAGTTTTGCTGATTGAGTTCCTTAACTCTTCAGTGGTCATTTTAGTTCGAGCATATCCAAATATAATGAAATTCTGCATAAACATCACGAACATGGAACCTCAGGTTTTGTGCTGCAAAATATTTAAGCATCACCGCCAAGCAAAAGGCCAAACCTCAGGAAGACAATCTTCATAGTAAAGAGCAAAGAGTGCAGGAAAAATTTTCTTTTTGGCAAGGTCTCCAGAAGCTCCAACAACAGTAATGCTAAGATTGGATTCTGTTGATTCTGAGACAGACAACGGAAATGATTCTTCCACTGTTTGGGGGTTATTGTGTTCTATGGGCAATGCATTTCCTGCTAAATCTATTTATAAGTATGCAGTAATGCATAATTAGCTAAGTAAATTCAGTTATGAAAAAATGCACAAGTATTCAACACTCAACATTTATGGAAGAAAATTCCATAGACATACAAAATGGTGCTTCAAATAAAATATGTGTTCAGAGCAACAAGACACTATGAAGGTCCTTAAATTCCAAAGTGCTTGGTATCTAATAGCAGATTTGAAAAATAACTTTTTTTTCATATAAATCATTTTTAGAAGCATAAAGGGAGCATCACTAATAGGGTAATCAGCTCGACCTTCAATTTGCGTAAAAGTTAATAACATTGAGAACTCTACCAATGTTGCAATCTCAAACTGAGGCCAAAACAGTTATGAACTGTACACAGACTGATGGCATATGGGGACACCAAGGAACCAAGCGGGTAAAATGGGGAGGAGAGTACGGAAAGTTATTATAGAATAGCAATGAGAAACGTGGATATTCTCGACTTGAAAAGAATCGAAACTAAGGAGGAACAAAGATAAGAAGATGTAACAGATTGCCTCTCAACATAAAGTCTGGCTCAATTATAGTTAAAACTCTGAACACCAATTAAGAATACAATAAAGAACTTTTAACACCTATTGGTTTCAATATTAATTGTAGCAAGTACTAAGAGTGAATGAGCTGACTTGAGTACAAGATAATAATAAGAGAAGCAATAAGATTAAGAATGTTATTCCAGCTAGAAGGGGAAAAGGTTGTTTAAAAAAACAAGAACAGTTGTTTGTTATGAGAAGGAAACCAACTTCAGAAATCCAAGATTATGACTTATTGTTATAGTTATTCTAAACAAGCTGCACCTCTCATTATATCAGGACATAATAACAAAACGGGTGAATGCATCGGACAATATCAAATAATTAATAATATATATTAATCTTTCTATTGAAATATATTTGATTTTCATTAAAAAAAATTATACATTGCAAAAACCAAAAAGTAGCGACTCAATGATAAAATCTTCTAGCAAAATCTGAACAGGGTTCTCACCACCACGGTAGATCATCCAATTAAAGACGTTTTAACGGAGACCAAACGAAGTTTATGCTTCATAGTATCAAGAAAATGTAATCAAGAAATTAAAAGCAAAACAGAATGTTAATTGGGATCAAAATATATCTTAACCAATTCTCACCATCCTGGGACGAAACAGCATTTAGTGGATTCCCATTTGAACAATTGAGCCGAAAACGGTTTCTGTCCTGGGTTCTTGAGCGAATAGGAGAGTTCCATAGTGGAGAAGGGATGCTCTCATTTCTTACAGGAAACGACGTGACAATGGCTGAAAGGGGATTGTGTTGACTGAGATAAGATGCCATGCGATATTCCCTATGAACGATTGAAGTTCGATTCAGTGAAGAAGAATCATACAAGCAAGGAATTCGATCCGGGACCCATATGGGTTTAGTGCCGGACTTGTAATAAAAGCTTACAGTCGATCGTTGAAGGAAATGGATAGACTAATCTAATCATCTTTCGTGTCTTCGTCTGTTTTGTTATTATGTATTTGAGGAACGTTAATCATCTTTCGCGTCTTCATCTCGTTTCTTCAAATGAGTTTTTTTTTTTTTTTTTTTTCTGGGGCAAATTCAAATATGGTATTTGAAGAACGTTAATTACTGTTAATCATCCTAAAGACTAAGAATTTTGGAAATTTTAAAACAACGATTAAATTTCTTTTAAGTAAAACATTTTCAAGGCAATTTTCTTGAAAAAATTTCAAAAAATGACACCTAAATTTACAAAACTCCAAATGGTCACTTAAACTAGCAAAATTCCAAATTAGTCATAATGATTAAATTAAAATTTTGAGATGTTATTGAATTTATAATGTTGCTTTTTATTTTTTATTTTAAAAGAAAACCCTCAAGTCACTCTCACTAACCGACACTGGAGTTTAGTTGGCTGCCGATCCCCAAAGCTTCAACAAATGGCCGTCGACCAACAACTGTTTTTGTGATTTTTTCAACTTTTATAACATGATTAACAACTCTTGTAACGATATTAACAACTTTATTAACACTATTAAATACACTTTTTTTAGGTTTTTAAACTGAAATGTTTTTAATATTCATAACACGATTAATAACTCTTATAAATATATTTGCAACTTCATTAACGCTATTAACCTCATGTTTTTTGGGTTATTAAATTGGGATTTTTTTGGACTTTCATAATGTGAAAGATATGTGATTAATAGCGTTAATGAAGTTGTGAATATTGTTACAAGAGTTATTAATCACGTTGATTTGACCATATTTTCACACTCTTTCTTGAGTTATTTTTAAGGTTTTTGAAGTGTTTTCATACAGTTCTTGTCTATCTTTGAGCCAATTTTTTGCATTTAATTCATGCTTTTTCAAGTGTCTTTAATGACTCTTAGCTGATTTTCATTTACCTTGGATCATGAAGAGTTAAATATTATAAGAAATTATGTTGATGTTATAGGTAAATGAAAGGATCTGGAGAGCTAAAGAAGGAGTTAAAGACCTTAAAATGCATCATGGGAAGCTTAAAGTGAAGAAGGATGCAGAAATCCAAGTCAAGAAAAGAACATGAAGGAATCACCCTCACTAGACACCATTGTCACAGCACAATATATGCAGCGAAGCCTTCAAATTCTTGATAATCCCTCTCGGTATCACTTCGTCGTGGAGAAGTGCTTCTAACAGCAAAACGCAGAGTTTCAGTTAGTTGACATTAAGGGCTTCCAAATTAGGTTAAAGGCTCGAAAATTGATACAACCAGCTGTCAGACATTATCCAGCTTTGGCCTCCATCATTCCCTCTTAACTCTCCACTACTTCCACCCAGAAATTCTTCATTTTTACATCATCTCACAATCAATATCTCAATTCTACACTGATTATTCTTCACCATTCCATCTCTAGACCACCTTTCCATACCTATTTCATCATCCATGACTGTTAAGAGTGCTAAAAGGAGCAAGATTGGAGCTATGAGTGGTTGAAGTTGGTGATCTTTAGTAAGCGGAATGCAAGCTTGAGCTCATAAACTGCACTGGGGAGTTTCTTATTTCAATCTTTGTGATTATATATATTTGAACTTCTAGATTTAGGGTTAAGTGCTAAATTTACCATCTTGGATAATTGATCAGTTTTTCCTTGTGATTGATTTATTTGTATTTGAACAAAATGATGTAATGTGTTTCTGATTTATATATGGCTTTATCTTTTTACCTTTGGCTTTTGATTGATTGCAATGATTATTGTTAGTTGATTGATTACCATTGACTCTTGTGCACTGATTAGTAATCAAGAGAAAACACTGTATCATCTCCTTTATTTACACCCTAAGTGGTTTTTATAACAATGTTTTGAAAAGGTGTTATTCATTTTGATCAAAGTGGTTTTCACTAATTCAAGCATCGGACCTAAATGATTATTTAAGATTTTAATTCAAACTTAGTGGTTTTAAAGTCCCAAATATTTTGAAAGAGCAAGGATAACACAATCCCCGTTGCCAAAGTCATCTTTATTGAATCCCTTTAATCCAAATTATTCCTTTGCATTACCAAAACATCAAAAACAAGTATTCCTTTTGTATTATTCTTTTTCGTTTTTCTCAATATGATTTTGAACAACCAAACCCCAATTTTACAAGTTTTCTTAGACACTTAGCTATTAGGTTTCAATTAAGGCTCCATGAGTGAAACGACCCAAGGTTGTGCAACTATAGTACAATCCTTGGTTAATTTGTGATCTTGACTTCCAAGGCGTTGGAATTCGGTCAAATCAATGGCGTCATTGTCAGGGAGTTGTTAATTTGACTCTCTTGTAGCCAAGCGTCAAACCCTTGTTTAATTGGGAGAAGAGCTTGATAGATTGCATCGCATTTAGGGTAGTTGCATTTAGTTATTTTCATAAGGGATAAAGGTCATTTTTGCCCCAGAAGTTTTCATAAAGGAGCACTGGCTGCCAGGAAGTTTTTTTAAGCGCAATGTAGCCCTAGAGGTTACAAAAAGGTAGCAATGTGAACCTATTTAGATGAAGACATAATGTTTTACATTAAGCAACATTGTATGGCATGAAGGAGCATCCTTGCGAATGATGTGGCATTTAGTTGGATGGGAAATATGGAGGCAGGATGGACACTTGTAAAATGAAGTGAAAAATGGAGAAGGAAAACAACAAAAAATTTGAGGGAGGAAGACGAAACGATTTTGGAAGTTTTAGCTGTCGAGGGAGAAGGAATTGTTGTGCTAGGGTTAGACAAAGTGTGAAGTGTGAGTGAGATCAGAGAGCAACAAATCTTAGTGGCGTTAGGGTAAGGAAAGGACGAGACGAGCATAAAGATTCTTTGGGAGACAGGTAACAATGGAATCTATTTTATTATTGGTATGAAAAAGTGTGATTAGAAGCTTTTTTTATCCGGATGGTGAAAGTTCATATTAGCCTTTTGTTTTCTGTTCATTAGATTTTTTGTTGATTAGTTGTTTTCTGGTAATTAATCTTGAGTTTAAGGTGGTGACGTGTCAGATAATGAGAAGGGTGGTCCTGATGGTAGTCCCAATGTTGGTCCCGAATTTGGTGTCGATTATTGGTGTTATCTGGATAGTTTGTTGTGAGTTTAATAAGAGGAAGAAAGAGTGGAAAGAGACAAAAGAGTGTCTATGTGAGCGACATGAGTCGATTGTGGCTTCTATTGTAGCATCTAGGTTGACAAGAGAAAAGTGTACAGAGGGTGTCCATAGGGAAGGTGAAATCCAATTAGATAAAGGGAAAGGGAAGTGTGTTAAAGAAGACAATGGTGGTGAAAGTGGGCATAGTGATGATGGGGATGATACCAAAGATGGGGATGAGATGGATTGGAATTAAAAAATATGCTTCTTAGATACTTTGAAAGCTAAATTGATTGAGACGGAAGGAAATACAAGAGCAATATGGGGATGTGGTTAAGGGAAAGCAGGGGTCAGAACACATCTAATAACACAGATGTATATGATAGGATTGAAATCTATCACGATAATGGACAAAATGTGTCACACCCCAAGTTTTGGGCCTAAGAATACACGGATTAGCCTAAGATAGGTAGGCTACTAAATCCATATGACCAGGAGTCCCAGAAATGTAAAAGGAATGTTGAAGGGTTTCAGGGACTAAACTGTAAATAGAGAAAGTTCTAAGAACTAAAATGTAAAGAAAGTTAGAGGCTCCAGTGAAGTCTCAAGGCCCATAAATGAGAAAAGAGGTTAGTTTAGATCAAATGTTATGATAGAGGCCATAATAGGGTGATTTATGAGGTTTACTTGACCAAGGGCAAAACCATAATTTTGGAAAGTTTCGGGTCAGGAATGGGTAAAAATGGAAGTAATACTGAAAAAATTCTAGAAAATTTCAAAAAATAGAAAATGACATTTTAAGGCCTGTATATGAGGGAAAATGATGAAAATGCCCTTGAGTTGACTTAAAAGGAATTTATAAGTTTATGGCTCAGTTTGAGATGTAGATGTAGATTTAATTGTTCGAGTCATAAAGAAACCTCAGAAAATTATGATAAAATGGGGATGTATGATCTAAGAGGCTATAGAATTTATAAAATTAGTCTCAAGCCTTGAAGGCCAACAGAAAGGCTTTAATATTTTTTTAAGGCTAAAACTGCAGTTTATGGGTTTGTTATGGGAAATTTAAAAAGAAATGCTTATAGTCTAAGTTATGATATGAGAAAATTTATAGATTTTCTACAGAATTAAAAAATTTTATGGTATAAATAGATGAATTTTTGGAGTTCAGGATTAGATAAAATACTCCAGTCAAATGTTAAATAATTAATATCTCTTAATTAGGAAACAAAGTTAGAAAATATCTTAGATATTTTGAGGAAGACAAGTTCAACTTGAATTCTCTTCTTCTTTCCCATGTGCTTCATTTATACGGGTGATGAGTCATCATATGAGTCACCACAAGATATTTTATGGGCAGTAAAAAAATTAGAATGCAATACGGGTAAGTGTTAGTTCCCTATCTACTCGATAGAGTAAAATTTCTACTATATGACTCAATAAGGTTGACTAATTGGTCAATAGTGTTGACTTTTTTTCCCCTCTGCTCCTCTAAGGTGGCGCCATATATGTGCCTTTTATTGGCCAATATCAATTATTAAAAATACCTAGAAATCTCAGAAAATTATGAAAAATTAAAGGAAATTCATTTAGGAATTATGGAGATTTATAAAATTATTTCCAACCCTAAATGATGAGGAGGTTAGCTTTAATTAAATTTAAAGCTAAATTAATATCGGTAGATTGTCTATTTTTACAGAAACGGTAATTTAAAGAGTTATATAGGGAGAAAAATTATGAAATTAATCAAGAAAGTTCCCTTTACTGAGATGTAATTAATGGTGATCTGATATAAGGGTTCTGAGATACTAGAATTTTTGACTATCAGATAAAATAAACTAATATTATAT